TGAACACAGTGGTAAGAGAGGGGCTTTGTAATAAGGGGCTTGTAATAAGAGAACTAATGGAACAAATCATAAAGATAATCTGAGTGCAGAGTATTCTCAACAGAGAAAAACAGATGCAAAGACTGGGGTGGGAATGTTCTTGGTATGCTAAGAGAGGACCCTACAAAAGAGTAATATGAGATGAGATGAGATTGATAAAAGTAAATGGGAATTCATTATGGTCCCCGCAAGTTCATTATATGGACTTCGGAATTTTCTGAGTAAGTCAGGAAACCATTAAAGCATTTTGAGCAGGGGAGTGAAAGGATACAGCATATTTTAAGATGACTGAAAAGAAATTTGTTGAGAATAGGGTAAAGGAGGATAAAGTTGAAGTGGAACATTTCCCCTGGAAATTCTGGGCACAAAATGTGATTATGACGTGGACAGTGTAGCACTATTCAACTGCTCTGACTTTTGTAAAAATGATTTTTTTCAGCACTGTGCATGGCTTGATTCTCAAATATAACAGAGAATGTAGGTTTGAAAACTGATAGTGTTTACAAAGAAAAAAACAAGCAGTATATTTTAATTCAAATAAATTATGAGTAGTTCTTACAAGGCACAGATACTAAATAAGCTGGTGGAAAAGAATATGGAATTAAAAAAAACCTTAACTTCTTCCTTTAATATTTAAACTCAGGTCTACAAATATAGTATTAGTCTCAAATGCAAGGAAATTTCATTGGATGTGAGAGCCTAATATTTTTATCATGGTTTTATTATATCAATGCTACAGTATTTAGGGGAAAATGAAAAGATGTCAGTATTAAAAGAAAGTCTTTATCTTGGCATGGGGCACTGTCAACTTCTACCTGTCACACTTGCAGCAATGTGGGCAGCACAGTCACCTCTATCAGATGCTAAAGTGCACTGGCAACAGAGTGACTTGTTTCAACTTGATTTAGCTTGACATGCTTCCAACACAAACTAACAAGACATAAAACAAACTTTTGATAAGGAGGTCAAAGACAAAGAAGTACTGAGTACCTAACATGATGCTGGATATAGTTTCCTCTCAATTCTTGTTTGCTATAAATAATGGAAGCTGTACTCAGAAACTTTAATCCATTACTCATTTCACTAATAGGTATTTACACCCTCATCATGTTACAAAAGCGTTTAACATAACTAATAAATATGCACAAACTATGATAAAGACAAACAAAATAAATTAGTAGAAACAGTGAAACCGGTGTGAAGGATAAGACAGAGTCAGATGTGGCCAATAAACATGGACATGACAATTTTCCTGTACAGTGCAACTTCAAAAGTGTATGCTACCTTTCTAATGAAGACCCATGTTATTTAATTGCTGCACTGTCCTTTCTAAAAATATTGAGAAGTTGACAATAAATAGTTTTGCTTATGAGCAGTTCTAAAAACTAGGAATTTATATTCTGGATTAATAAAACATCTACAGTTCCAGAAATCACTGTCTAGGATAAACATCAGGCAAAAAAGGCAGTGTTGACTATAGACTCAAGGTCATTTAATTCTGGGCGGGAGGTGAATCTGAAAACAAATATCATAGATGTTCTAAACATGGGCAAATGGGAAGAAGCACAAGTGTGCCTTGTCTCTGAGATTATGGAACCAAAAGCCCACCAGAGACCTATATTTGAACTGCTTCTGTGAACACATACACACACCCCTCAAAAGAATCATAAAGTATTTTTATCCCAGGCATCCCCAGAGTTCACTTACCTATAGCTTGGGCCAAGGCTATTACGACCTCCTGGCAGGTTGTGACTTCGGTGACCCCACAAACGATCCTCTGGACTCCATCCACCCATACTTTAAGTTCCATGGTGCACTGGCCAGTCACCCAAAGGCCCTGAGAGTGGTCATCAGGAGGTCAGGTCATGTCTCTGGTTTCGGGGACACGGAGAAGGGAGAGTCCGTTTTCAGCTAAAAGGGGGGAAAGTATCACTTATAAAACAGGAAAAATAATATTACATAATGTCATCATCTAAAATCTTATATGAAACAGAACAAGTTTTAATGTATCATAATCCCACTATCATCACTACTCTTTTTTTCCCCCCTCCAGTACTGGGATTGAACCCAGGGCCTTTGAGCTGAGTTAGATCCCTAGCCTTTTATTTTTTATTTTAAGACAGGGTCTTGCTAGTGGGGGTTTCAAATATTAACAGTCTTTGCATCCCTTTTCCAGTGCATCCCTAAGTCTCCCCACAGGATGGAGTGGGAAGACTTCACACGGAAATGTCCACACTAAGCACTGCATGAGACAGGTGTGTACATGTGTGAAGGAAATGAATTTCTTTGAAGGCTGACGATTTCCCTATGGATGAAATGCTTTTTCTTTCTCAATTAGTGGGGTCTGTTAATTTTATTGAGTTAGTAGAGTTATTCAAACGATATAAACCATAATCTTAGTTGTATTTGCTGCCAAGTGCTTTTTTATTTGCCAAGCAGATTTTTCATATGCCAAGTAGAAAACTTTACACTCTCATTTAGTGAAATCAAATGCTTTGGTTTCATCTATTGATTTGAATGCTTTTATCCTGCTAACAATCAATTATGCACAGTTCTTTTTTTCTATGGGTTTTAAAAACCTCAACTCTTCCCATGTTGTCTTTATAATTAATCTCAGATTTATTTTGTTTGTCCATTGTTTTGTGCACTTCCTCCTTTAAAAAAAATAATGTTAAAAGTTTACAAGATGCAATAAACTTTGATTAAATTAAGAGGACATTTGGATTTAAGGTTTGTAATACCACTGGTGTTTCAGGATTAATGACTAATATCAAAATTTTACTTAATACTAAAAATTTTCTTATAAAATAATGTTTACTACAAACAGTAGCTTGCCCCTTATACAATGTCTTAAAGGATTAAGACAGTTCTGAGCCACTGGTCACCTAGGTGGATGAGTTGGAGTACAGAAGTGAAAGACCAAATTACTTTCTCTAGAAAGTACAAAAACAAGGTACAAAAACTCCTTTTTGTCATCCTGAAAACAAGGACTATTAATCTGAATATTATTTTCCCTCCATATGTGTCTCTGTAATATATCTCAAACAGACACACATGGAGGGAAGGAAAGAGGGAGGAAAGGAGGAACTGAGGGGGGATGTAAGGAGGGACGGGGGACAGAGGGATAGAGGAGCAGAGAGTAGGAGAGGGAAACAGTGGGGAGAAAGGGAGAGGAAAGGGAAGGGGAGGGGAGAGGAAGAGAGGGAGAGACTATGGATGGATATCTTGCCAAAGACCAGCTGAGTCCCGTAACTGTCTTCCTTAATTATGAGGCCCTGTGAATGTTAATGGTCCTGGGGAAAAAAAGGGTTCCAATGTCAAAGAAATGTAGGAAACCTAGTAAAGTTAAATAAGTTCCTTTGCAGCTATACTTCTCAGTTTTCAATTGGCTGCTGCGCAGTCTAAATTTCAAATAAGCATTGCACATGCAGCTGTCCCCCAGTCTAGGAAACATTTAAAGAAAGAAACATAAGAGTTCTGACTTACAAGACTTGTTTCCTTGTCTGCTAGGTATCCTATTTACTAAAAATAGAATATGTACTATGTTTTCTTGAGATAAAAACCAGGTATAAAAATGGTTATTAAATTAAAAATCAGAATTAACATCTATTTAATATCTAGTCTCTTATTTTTCATTAAAAAACCTTAAACTTGAGAAACCTCCCAAAAAAGGCTAAAAATTTCTTTACCCTCCCCCAATAAACCTGTTATTTAAAAGAAAATCAGGGGACTCATATTTTAAAAGTAGTAGAACATGTGATCTATTCTCTTAACACATTTTAAAGTGCATGTGCTGTTAACCATAGGTACAACGCTGTAGAACAGATCTCTAGAACTCATTCATCTTGTATAAGTGAAATTTTCCATGCCATAAACACCATGTGCCCATTTTCTTTCTACCTCCAGCCCCTGGCAAATGTCATTCTATTCTATTTCTATGAATTTGACTATTCTGCTCCTTATCTATATGCTATAGACCTATTTAGTAATATATTTTAC